ATTTTTTAAAAGTAAAAAAATATATCAACTAATAGTCATTTATTAAAATTCTCAAGTTTCACTGTCTGGCACACACGAATCTAAAGTGCTCTTGCCAGGTCAGTGTCGCTCAGTGGTTGAGAGTGGACCCAGAACCAAGAGGTCACCTGATGATTCCTGGTCAGGGCACATGCCTGGTTTGTGGGCTTGGTCCCCAGTAGGGGGCGTGCAGGAGGCAGCCGATCAATGTTTCTCTCTCTCACAGATGTTTCTCTATCCCTCTCCCTTCTTCTCTCTCTAAAAAAAAAAAATAAAAACATATTTTAAAAAATAAAGTGCTCTTACTCCTAGAATGAAAAAGTGCCACACAACTTATTAACAGAACAAAGGAGTTCATTTTATGGCAGTCACGCTGTTCTCTGGTGAAAGCCTTTTGTTAACAAACGTCCCACTTCTCTAGGCCAGCTATTGCTGTCATTGCCAGGAAGAAAATGAGTTCCACATAGTAGAAAATGGCAATTCTTTCTAGGAATCTGTAGCATTTGGTGGCTACCTGACAAGGAATGGGGACCACTAGTCAATAGGTCAGCTCTGGGGTTTGATAAAAAGAAAAAGCACACACACATTAATTTAATAATTTTTAATAAGAAATCAAAGCACCTAATATAATCTAAATTTTCTATATAAAGTGCTTCTCTGGGCTTTGTGGGTACCAACTAATTCAGAAGAATGGTTCATGGGGAAGTGTCACTAATAAGAGGATAGAGGAAGTAGGAAAAAATCTTTTGTGCTCAATTGAATGTAATCTATAGCCAAACAGAAATAGAAGGGAAAATTTAATTTATTAAGTTTCAAAAATAGGTTTCATACTTAAATAAATTATGGATAATTTTAAAAATTCTTACTTCAAACTATAATTAGAAGTCTTTCTATTCATTTTTAGAACTATAATGAGCCTAAACTATGGGAAAACCAGTGTTACTTAGTTTAAAAAGAGAAAGTCCATGTAGTCATCACCCCAGCTAGGCCAATGGTATTCCTAATTGGGTTAAGAGGTGGTAAGGGGATAATAGAGAGTAACTGGTAGAATCAGCTTAATATATTTTAAAAAAAGATTTGTAATTGGCACAGGCACTGCCTGTCTCATGAACATGGCTATTTCTGAATTGCCCAAAAATAATTGATTACAGCCCGGCCAGTGTGGCTCACTGGTTGATTGTCAACACCCATGAACAAGAGGTCATGGGTTTGATTCCAGTCAGGGCACATGCCCAGGTTGCAGGCTCAATCCCCAGTAGGGGCTCGAAGGAGGTAGAAGATCAATTATTTTCTCTCATTAGTGATGTTTCTATCTATCTCTCCCTCTCCCTTCCTCTCTCTAAAATGAATAACATTTTTTTTAATTATAAAAAAACGTAAAAGATAGTTGATTATAAAATTAAACAGGAATCTCAGAAACTTCTTTTTGCTTTCATTTGCTTGTGACCTTCCTCCTTTTCTTTTTTAATCAATCAAAGTGTAATATGAGCTTCAGCCTTGACTGCATTTTTATTAGATATAATGGAGGCTGAAATGAAGGATGTAGAAGTGACAGAATGTAGACAATATTAAAATAAAGAGAGCTCTGTATAACATACATTTTGTTATAATGTTTTGGCCTTATATAAAAGGTGATTCTACTGGCCACAGGCCTGCATTATTACTATATATACTTTGAATTATTTCCCCAATAATGGGAATAAGCTTATACTAATCTTGATTATTCAGCCTTTGTGACTAACAGCATGTTATCTTTAAGACAACTGGGGTTAGGGTTGCCTAAGTACTAAACCTATGACTTCAGTCTCATTAAACAAACCACATATCTCTATGGTTAAAAAATCTAGTATGCTGTGCTGTGAAGTCCAGTAATATAAATGTTAATTTATAAGCTAAAATATCTGAGTGTGACTAAATAAATAATGTTGTAGAACTTCTAAGATTTTGTAACCTAAAATTAAAACCTACACACAATATTAAGTAACATTTGAACATTTTTACTGCAAGCAAAGATCAACGATCAAACTGTTGGAAGAGAACAATATACACGGTGGGGCAAAAGAGGGTTACAGTTGTGAGTATGCGAAACCCACAGCTTATTCTTGTATTATTAATTTATTATTGTATTATTTATTTGTATTATTTGTATTATTATTATTATTATTATTATTATTTCATGTCCTTATGATTTATCTTTTAGGTAATGATGGCTCGTAATTTAACCTACTTTTCCCCACCCCTGCAATTCTAAACAAACCTGGTTTTAGTCTCATGCTTGGTCTAGGTATAGTAATACTGAAACTTATAGATTCTAGTTGTTAGTTTTACACATAACTTTGTATGTTTCTTAAAATACATTGCAGCCAAGGTCCATAAAGAATAGTAACCTTATGTATTTCCCTCTGCTATTTTTCCTACAAATTTCATTGATATTAAAATGTGATCATGAAGCAAACGAGATAGGGACCATATATAAGGGAGTAAAACACTAATAATGACTGGCTGTCAGAAAGTGAAGGTTGTCCTGAACATCACTGATAGTCTTTATGAGGTCTCGGCAAGAATCATAAACATGGTAACAAAACATATACGAAGACAAAAAGGACAGAGTCCTCAAACTAGAACATAAAACAACAAGCTTTAAGAGTGTCTCACCTTCTTCTCGTCTTAAATTCCGTTCAATGTTTGCTACACAGGAAGCACAAGTCATACCGGTGACCTGTATGTAACACTTAGATGAAGTCTTTGCCTCCTCCTTGTTGTGAACTGGTGTCATCATTTTCACATAAAATTCATTAGCTGAGGTCAAGTGTGGCATTTCTGATGAGGGCTGAGCTATTACTACCAATGGCTCATTTGTACCTGGCAGACAGGGAAAGAATCTTTTCACTTGAGGTTGTCTCCGGCTGCATTCTAGTCATTCATCACAATCCACCCTCAGGCACTGTCGATCCATTCCTTTAAAACCAGCATAGACCTATGTTATCTTTACACTTTCTAGGAAGTGACTTCTAATTCAATGCTGTCCACCCCAGTTCTAAGGAAAATCTAAACTGAGTAAATAAAACTTTGATTATATCGTTATTTCAATCATTTATTTCCACCCCAAACCCTAGGTAGAGAATAGTTTGTTAATGGATAGTTCTTATTTTTATAACAGATTTTTATCATCATGTTAACAATTTGCATACTTGTGTTAAAGCAATTCGTGGTATAGTAAATGGAAGCTTAAGCAATTTACAAAACAGCATTGCAGTATGATGTGTAAATTTTTTTGAGTGTATGTATATATGAGAACACGCATAAGCAAGCATGGGAGGCTACACACCAAACTATGAACGGTGGCTACTTCTGGGGAATGGCGTTAGAGCAGGAACAGAATAGACAAACGAACGGATTTCCTCTACAGACACTTCTGTATCGTTTGAATTTTTAACACTAATATATGGTATTTTTGAAATGAAAATGTCTTTGTGGACAATGGAAGGAGACAAGGAGTAAGTTAGCAGTAACCTTCATTTTGCCCAAAGGAGTATTTGGAGAATCTCTTTGGAGAATGCTTATGGTCTGCGGAATAGTGGGAAGTGCCTATCATCCCAGAAGCTCCCCAGCAGTCTCAGAAAAGCTGCTAGTCTGTTTTACTCGGTGCAGTATTAATCGCCTCCCAAAAAGGAAGAAATTATTTTCTCTAGCATATCCATGCACCTGTAAAAAAGCTAAAGATATTCTACTCTCCTGCAGAAATAAGTAGGAAAAGAAGTATAATGGAAATTTCCTTTAACCTATCTAACTTGTTCTTTCTTCCCCTTGAGCAAAAATCTGGTTCAGGTCTATGTGAGGAGCCCACAGAGGAAGCCCTACATAGCAGAGTTGGTTTTCAGGATGCTGAAGAAACTTTAACAAAAGCCTAACTATTTCCCTAATGAATAATGATATAGACGCCTTAAATCAGTATAATGATAGCTCTAAAATTTTAATACAGTCACCTGGGGAATATTGTTAAAATGCAGATTCGATTCAGTACAGGTAGGGTAAGGCCTGAGATTCTGCTTTTCTACCAGTCTGGGTACAGCAACGGACCCTTTGATAGCAAAGGATTAGATTCTCCCAATTCTGAAATTAGTCTTTGGTCTTGAGTAAATCACTCAGATTACGAGAGCATCATTCCGAACATAGAGGGCAAAATTCCCCAAATAGCACCATAATGTTAAAGAACTCAAAAAGGAGGCTCATTTGCCCAAAGGAAATAGCTTTGGCTTTGAAAAAAACAAACATTATTTTAATCTCATCAAGATCTTACTTAATTCTCTCATTACTATCAGGACTTAATTTTAAACTTGGACAATGGGGAAAAAAAGTTTCTACTGCGAATTAGTTTATGTCTTGTTCCAGAATAAGTTACTTATTTCAGGTACAAGAGGTAATCTGCAATTTTCACACTCTGTAAGTACGGTATTAAATTAAGTCATAAAAAATAACGTAAGTCATAGAGGCAGTCCCTTTTAGTTACATTGGCATGACCTCTCAACAAACATTCATGAAACTGTGACTTTACCCCAGTGAGTATATCGCAAGCAGAAGAGCAAAAGCTCCATCTTCCACAGAGGCAGTGTATTAAAAAGCCACAAGGAATTAAATGGGTACAGTTTCTTTAAATTAGCTTTTCTATAGGCTGTCACAACACTACTTATGCCTAAATGAATTCAAAGGGAAGGTTAAGTTTCCTGCACTTGAGGCACCAAACAGAAAAGATTCCAAAAATTTCAAGAAAGGGTTTTCAATCTGATCCTCAAAACTGGTAGGTTCAGTGTCTAGATTAATGTGGAGAGTAAATACATAATCAGAAAATGGCTTAAAAACAATTATAAATATCATGTCTGCAACTTGCTCTCAAATGATTCAGAAAGTTAGATAGGTGTGTTTTTATATGTGTGTGTGTGTATGTCTGTCTGTTGTTATAGAAAGAGAATGATATAACAAATGTGGTAAAATATTAACTCGGGAATGTGAGTGCAATTGGTAAACAGAAATTCTTTCTATTATTCTTGCAGCTTTTCTGTAAGTTTAAAATCAAAGATAAAAATGTTACAAACAGGAAAGTAATTTAATCAAGTATTTTGTTTGCTTTAACTGGTTAGTAAAGACTTAACTTCATATATTATATGCCTAAAAGAATGATGAGATTGACGGTCATAAAAAGCACCCTCCCATTTTTCTCACTATCTTCCTTAACATTTACAGCTTATCCAGGACTAGTAAGACATGAAAGCGAAATGTGCTGATCCCTCTCTGTTTGGGTCAGGTCATAGTGGTATACTGTGAGGCCTGGATCAGCACTGACACTGACCTTCAGAAAATGGGTAACAACCATTCTGGTGGTATCTTAAGCACTGATTGATCTCTAGCAGAAACACAGAATACAATCATTTTGATGTCAACTTTTTATTCCAATAATATGGGTCACTGTAGTCACAATTCTATCTTTTTATGGTAACATTCATTGTGCCAAGGTTTTTTCCCCCACATATTCATCATGGTATTAATGCATTTATGAGCCCTAACAGGTGCATGGCACATAACAGGTTCCTGTCAATTATTTGTTGAATAACTGATTCCTAGTACCCTTAATAATAGTAGGTTGAGATAAAAGCCATGAAAGTGAAATTAAAAGTTACTGAACATGTTGCATTCATGGTTCTGAGGACTAGGTAGATGATAGACATGGTACCAGAGACTATCAAGTACTCTTGAATTCCACTTATTGGTCTGATCAAAATGTCTCCTATTGCTGGAGTGTCTTTGAATTCATCTAAGGTATTTGGAAAGTTCCACTTTTGCTGTGCCCATATTTCTTATATAAAACTTCATAAATTATATTATTTAATGTTATATTATTATTGCATTAAATGAACAATGTTAATATAGATTAAATTCAGAGATTTTATTCAGAGGTCAATGCAGCAAATTATTTAGATCAGTGCTTCTCAAACTTTAATGTGTATATGAATTACCTGGAGTGCTTATTAAAATTCAAATATAGGCTTTGTTTTAAAAATATAGATCCAAGTGAAAAGAACAAATTCTGTTTTGGGGTCTAGTCTGAAAGTTTGTGTTGTTGTTGCTTATGGTATGACAGATACCAGATTTGATTGTGAAAAATATTTCAATTTCATATAGTATGTGATATAATTTGGGTTTCTAAATACATATAAGAGCTATAGGAATATTACAGAGTAAGTAACTTGTTTGACTGATACTGATGTAAACTGAACTTATTTATGTAGTGTTCATCGTTGACAACATAATGCATCATGTTTTCCAAAATATTTTAATTTAACAGAAACTGAGGAATAATCCAACATTATGAATGAGTGAAATGCGAATCAATGTAATTTCAAATACTGTCATTTTGAACACTTAAAAATTGTAAGGGATGATAGATACAAATGAATTTTGCTGAACTAATTTTAGTCACTTTTAATGGCTACCTGATATAGTTTCACTTCCAATATTTCCAATTTAAATTTTTCTTCTGGTTTACTTATTTCCTTTTGCAATTACAGATTCTTATACTTTGTTCAGACTTAGTACTGGAGGCTCTTTAACATTTTAGTCTTCTGTATAAATTTTCTAATAGGGAATTATGTATTTCTTTTTAGAGCACAAGAATCTTGGTCTGAAATTTTCTTTATCAAAGTGAGAATTCTAGGTAGGAATGTAAAATGGTACAGCTACTTTTGAAAAGAGTTTGGTAGTTCCTAAAAATGTTAAACATATTCACCATATGACCCAGAAATTCCACTCCTAGGTATGTACCCAGGATAAATAAAAGCATATATTCATGCAAAAAAATGTATACAAATTGGTCATAGAAGGATTATTTATAATAGCCAAGGAGTAGAAACAACCTAAATTTCTATCAGTTGACGGATGGAGAACCAAAGTGAGGTATAAAGGAATACTATACAGCAATAAAAATAAAGTGCCAATACATGTTATGAACATGAATGAACATTTGTGTACCTTGAAAATATTATACTAAGTGAAAGCAGACACAAAAGGACAAATGTTCAATGATTATACTTACATGGTACCTAGAGTTGTCAAATTCATAACAACAAATATAGAACAGTAGATAACAGAGGTTGGGGTAGGGAAAATGGGGAGTCACTGCTATGAGTATGGGGCTTCTTTTGCAGGTGACAAAATATTCTAAAATTAGATAGTGGTAATGGCTGCAAAACTATGTGAATATACTAACAACCACTGGATTATGTACTTAAAAATTTATTTTTTTAATCCTTACCCAAAGATATTTTTTCCACTGATCCTTAGAGAGAGCAGAAGAGAGGGATGGAGGGGGGAGAGAGAGAGAGAAACACTGATGTGAAAGAGACACATCAATTGGCTGCTTCCCGCACACACCCTGACCGGGGCTAGGGATCGAACCTGCAACCCAGGTCCATGACCTTAACCAGGTGAACCCGGGCTGGCTGGTGCTCTAACTGCTGAACCACATCAGACAGGGTAGACTGTGTACTTTAAAAGGGTGCATTTTATTATATATGAACTCTATCTTGACTTTAAAAAGTGAGAATTCTGTAATTTCTACCTTTTTCATGAATATGAGAAGAATGTTTGGTATGTCTCTGGGTCCTCTTTTAACTACCATACTAATTTAGGCATGAGTTTAATATAATTTTTTATGCTTCTCAGTTTTGGTGAGCTTGAAAAAATTATATTATTTGATATCCTTCATTTTGATCAGAAGAGCAAAGGTTAATGATGACACTGTTTAGAAATTAGTTATAAAACTTTGTCATTTATAGCAAGACATTTCATTAGGGCATTTCCAGTTTAAT